AGTTGTCAAATGTTTCCTGACTATCTGAATTTTAGTGGCTTCTGTTAATAAACTAATGTCAGTCACAGTGAAGCGAACACATTCATTCATTTAGATAAGTATAAACATATTATTACTTCTTGTTTGTGTTTCGCTTATTTTGTAATTTATTTTGCTTCTATTTTTCTCTGATTTTTACAGTTATAAAATATGGCATTATAATTCAATGAACCTTAGATATTTCTTCGATGTAGATGTTTGCACAGAACATTATAGACATTAAGATAAGTCATTTAGAATAAAAACATGGACATAGACTTTATGCTTGTTCGCACTAGTCAGTATGGTGTGTCCGTAGTCGTAGCGAAGTTCAGTACACCTGTGAGATGATGATAAAGTGACAGAACCTTGTCACTAAACTATTTAGGCTAAGTATGATTATCTGTAGGACTAAATTGTGTTGGCATATTGGTCACAGGATAGTGAGTGATCAATATTGTCATTTGACATTTTATTCTTTCACTCAGTTAGCATGTTCCCATGACAGTGTTTGCAGAGTTACATCAAAAATTGTCAAATAAATTCATTCTGTAAAAGTATTATAGTGTGCAAGGTCTAAATGATTTAAAATATTCTATTTTTTGAAAATTCTGTAAAGTTTTAACATTTTACAAGATAAAAATGTTAACAAATGTCAAAAACTGTTGGGTATTCGGATAAATGGATAATTTATACAAAAAGAAAGTTTCACTTCCTCGACATTGCCATGGAACGCCTAGAAGACGGTAGTCTTCAAAAGTCAATTTATCGAAAGCCTACATGGAAAGGACAATACTTACATTTCAATAGCTTTTGTCCAAATAGCTTTAAACGCGGTCTAGTCAAGACTGTGTACTATACAGCGAGAAGAATATGCTCTATAGAGAAATTAGAGGAAGAATTTGAGTTTCTTGAAAAGCCACTGAAGAGCAGTGGGTACCCTCAAAGGTTCATCAACAAGTATGGAAGATCTGAAGTCAAAAATGTAAGACAAATCACAGTGGAAAAAAAGCCAATCTACTTTCAGCTTGATTATAAAGGTGAAAACATTACAGCGATGATCAACAGAAGGCTGAGTACATCACTAGCTATAGCCTATCCTGCAGCTAAGCTCGTTCCAGTCTATCGAACAACTTGCTCTTTGGTGCAATCAAAAATCGATAGATATCCTTCGCATGTGAACTCCAACTGTATATGCAAATTTACATGTATCTGCGGGAGCAGTTACATTGGAAGAACAGAAAGAAGAGCATATCTACGATTTTCTGAACATGTACCAAAAAGCTTACGTCTAAAGGGAACAAATTCTTTAAACAGTGCCATCGCCAGGCATCTCCTCGACACGGGTCATGAGGTGGAAATCGAGAAATCCTTTAAAATTATCAACAAGCAAAGGAGCTCCATTCTCCTCAAGTTTGCCGAAGCAATTTCTATCAAACGCTTCAAACCAGATTTATGTGTTCAGAAAGAAGCAGTTATTAGTCTTTCCTTGCCATGGTAACTGGATGTCTTTATTCTCTACTCTGATTGCGTAATCTTTGTCTTTAACCTCACCCCTCTTTTTTATAATCTGTAATATTGCTTGTCTCTTGTTTCTATGACGTGATTTGAACTCAGTACATCGTTACCAAAATTTATTAGTTACTCATCATCTTACTCACCTCTCGTCTTTATTACGTAACTCCCTTACCATTGTATGCATACATTTATTTTGACTTGAACTGCCTGTGTAAAAACTATATAAGCACAATTTTCTGAGCACTTTTCACTGATTGTGGAACTTTCTGTCAACTGACAACATGTAAAAATTTGCAAGCTATAAGCAGATGATGAGAAACCGACGAAATAAATGATGGCACCATATTATTCTGCACAAACCACTGTTGTTCTTGCTTTATTTAAATTCATCAAGGGGAATAAATGCATGAAGTTATACAAAAAGGACAATTAGATACGGCAACCATTTTATGTAAACCAATCTCATGAACAAACGAGCAATAAAAAGGACAGTAATCAGAATTATTTATGATGAATGATTACCCAGAGATATTTAAAAAAAAATAATGTGAAGACAGTCTATGTTACTTACTTTGGTTTTACATTTTCGACTCTTCATATAAAATTTCAAATCACTCTTCAGCTTTATTTATCTTCCGAAGATAAGCTTGACCAATGTAGTATCTAAAATTCTAGGTTCGATAATCATGCATTGATTAAGTGGTGGTGCTCAGGAGATTAATACGCTCTCTTCCTAGCCAATAGCCTGCATGGTTTTACCGGGTTTGTTTCTCCAGGGCATTAATCACTTTAAGCATGATTATTGAAACTAGAATTTTATATACTATATTGGTCAATCCTATCCTCGTATGATTATCACAGGAAGACTTGTCTTCCTTCTTACAAACTGGGATAATCAGTGATTTACACCACTCTAATGGAACTCTTTGTTCTATGTTGAAATTCAGCCAGTCAGTCGGTCTTTTGGAAAGCAGTAGCTTCTATTCTTTTTGGTAGCAGGTTAAAAGAAGATAGTTACGTTTAGAAATTGGTTATCTTTATTGCTATTGGCTGGGGGTTGACACACTCATTAGATGTACTTACTTTATTCCTTAAGTGGATCATGATTCAAGTGTTGGTTTGTAGGGATTTGATTGGTTTCAGGATTTCATCATGAGCTGACATTAGTTAGAGAACCATTGGAAAACCTACATGGAGTACTGAACAGCTGTTTCGTCTGCCTAGTTTGGGACTCTTCAGCAACAGAATCCCTATAAACCAATACTTGAATATCAATGAGATGCTCACTGGCGACTGGCCCTATTCAGGTAGGTCGGTACCTGGGGTTCCAGGGGGAAGTCGTGACCAGTAGGGTGCAGCAGGTCGGGTGTGAGGACAAGTACTCGCCACGGACGACATTGACTAGCGGTTGAGCTATATCGTGAATTGGCTGAAGTTAGAATTCATGGGCTATTGGATCGGGTGCCAATGACTTAATGGTATACGAGCTTGCCTTGTAACCAGAGGGTCCTGAGTTCGAACCCCGGTGGGTGAGTACTGATGAAGAGTCCGGAAATAGGCTGACGAAACAGCTGTCCAGTACTCCATGTAGGTTTTCCAATGGTTCTCTAACCAATATCAGCTCATGATGAAATCCTGTAACCAATCAATCAAATCTGTACAAACCAATACTTGAGTTTCATATTTTTCAGAATTCCTAAAGTACACACTTTCTAATACTTTCAGTTAACGCAGCAAAGAATTTGTTTTTAAATCTGAACGACTGATATGATAATATTTGATGTTTAGTCATGGGTGTTATTTACTAAGTAGTCAAGCTGTACACAGTAAGGATAAGCAAGAAAGAAAGAAAGCATAAGTAAGATGGAAACAGATCTTCCAGCCACTTTTTTAATATTGTTGACTGGTTTGACATTTTTATAAACTGGATAATATATAATAATAATATAATATATTTGACACCTATACATGGTTCCGCTCTGAATTAATAATAATAATAATAATAAAAATCCTTCTAATTTTATCCACAATATTTCGTTATTTTTTCTCAAAATGTTAAACACCTCAAAAGCATCTGATTGTGTGACCTTGACCTTTCAATAGTGAAATTATGCTGCTTTGGAAAGTTTATATAAGTCAATTCAAAATATTAATTATCAACATATTGGTTGAATGAAAAGCATAAAAATCAGTAGAGGCATATTGTTATTATTGTTAATATTGTAAAGGTTGTGTTGTTAAGTAGTAAATCATTTATTACATTAAATCTCAAACAGATAAATAGTAGTAGTCCGCGGGTGTTTTGTCAATATTACTGACATTCATATTTATGAATTCTAATAAGAAAAGCGTTCCTCTCTATGTAAGAGTGAAAATTGAAGGGAATATGAAGTAGTGTTAAAAGATAACAAGTACTGTTTATTATGAAATTATGAATGATGTGTAGTATTTAGGTGTTTTCGTTAATGAAATACTCTTACATAAATTATATACAAAATAACACTTAGACGATGGAATTTGTTAGAGATATTCATTTGTAGATAAACTTCCTACTTAAAGCAATAAGAAGTAATATCTTTTGAACGACTATTAGAAGTGGGTAAAGGTGGACAGACCAGCAGTTAACTAATAAAGCTTTTTAGGAATTCATTTTGTTTTATACTTATATTTGACGTTATTTGTTTGGAGGTGGCCAGCATTTAGTTCTATTCGGTCGATTTTATTACTTCCAGCTAGTAGGTTATGGGCATCCAGGTAGTATTGTAACGACAGAAGACAAGGGCCAGGCAACAGATCGTTTATTGAGAAAATCAAGAGGTATTTATAGATTTTTATGTACATTATTGTTAGCACAGAGGCAGCGTCTTCTGATTGGTTGTTTTCTTGCTGAAGGTTATTCTGTACTGCTTGTGACCGTTTCTCAGAAAGTTAAGCCATGTATCTGCGAATCCTATTTGCACACGTTGAGTCTGCTGTGACTGGTTGGTGAGTTTCTCAAGGTTAAGCTTTGTCATTGTTTTTCTAATGACCCCGATTGGGGACGTCACATTGACGTAAATTGCTGTCTACAATTTTTGGTTTGCAGTCAGCTCTCACCACAGTATCACTACCCCCTCACACAATAGATGTAGCTCATTGAAAACTGAATGGGATTGCAGGTGGTTGCTGAGTAACATTTCGTTTCATTTTTCCATATTCATTATTAATACTCTTTCTGGTCTCGGTGGGAATACTGTCTATCATTCAACAATAGTCTCATATAAGCTAACTGAGAAGGTTTCTTAGAATTCTTTGTAAGCCACTATCAAACGAATAACATTCAAATTAAACTGCGAGTTGTATCAAATAGTTCATTCAAGGAGTCTATATCCAAACGGAGACTTATCACTTCGATCTTAATAACTCAGTGGGAAATATATCTCACCTATTTTTTTCCATTTTCTTATATCTATACTTTTTTCTAGACTACTGATAGAATGGATCAAATTAAAGAATTAAAGTCAAAAATTCAACAAGTTCAAAAAGAAACACAAGATCGATTAGCAGGGTTCAAACAAGATTATAATATGTCACAATGGACGGCTTACAAAAAACATCAAGGTAAATTCTTAATGAAATTACCATCATATTTTCATCTAATATAATGATATAAGATCATTAAGCCTCTGAAAATTTTGTAATTTCAAAGTGAATTTATTGGACAGTTATATTAAATAAGTAAAAAAGGAGATACCTTGTCCTGATACAATAATTTTCACCCATCATTTATTTATTCGATGAAGCAGGTAATAAACTAAGTGAATTGTGAAGAGTTAGTTTGTAGGGATTTGGTTTGTCTCAAGTTCGATCACGAGCTAATATCAGCTAGAGAATCATTGGAAAACTAAGGAATACTACATAGCTGTTTCGTCCTAGTTTGGGACTCTTCAGTAGTATTTACCCACTGGATTTCGAACCCAGGACCTTCCAGCTGCAGGGCGAGCTCGTTGACCATTCAGCCACTGGGATCCGATCCATTGGCCACCCGATGAATTCCAACTTCTACCAACTCGTGATTTTATCGCCACCACTAGCCAGTCTCATCGGCGAGTATTTGTCCTTACATGCAACCTGGTGGACCCCACCGGTCACTACTTCTCATTAGAATTCCAGGCCATTTCATCCTGTAGACAGTCACTAGAGAGCATTAGATTAATTTTTAATAGTTAGTTTGTAAGGATTTGATTTGTCTCAAATTTGATCACGAGCTGGCGACAGTCAGTGAATTGTCTTTTCAACTGAAAAACGAATAGAAAGTTGTACACTGTCCATTACCTCATGAAAACATCACCGATATAACTGATCAGATTTGACACAATCAGCTAATAAATGTTTAGTTAGTACTTGTCTTGTTCTACTACACGGGAATGATGGGATTAGGTCTTCAGCTCTATTTTTTTTGCGTCCCAAGTGGAACAAGAGGCTTCAAGCTTGAGGTTTGAGTAGCAGTGGTATTTTTTAAGGGGTGCAGTTGTTAACCTCACACCCAACCTTCCCTCTTTATTGGACTTTCTACCACCTGAGCAAGATTTAGGAGTGCGCCAGCCGGGAATCTGGCTCGGACCACGTGAGCGGTTTACGGGTATTTGACTCCTGAACCACTGGCTCACGAATTTAGTAGTTAGACGGTTTTAAAAGGATACAGATACAGCATAATTATTACAAAATGGGATATATGAGATTTTTTCCGGCTTGTACACAGAGGTTCACATTGCATTACTAGCTGATTTCAATGAATCATAAGTAATGTATCAGTTGGTTAAAATCAAGTTAATGTCTCACCTTACCGTGAAAACTTAACATTTCCCCACCTTCCATTTTCTCCATTTTGCGTATTAATGACTGTTTTCACCGTTTATTTATCTAAAAGCATAATACCTATTTTAAGCAAGTTATTATTATTACTACTTCTTTTCACCTATTTATTCGTTAGATAAAAGTCAAAAAGTAGTGGCAAAACATTTTCTACACGCACATAAAATGTGCGAAACAATAAAACACTGATTATTACATTGATGACTTGTAGAATAATTACTTGAAATTTTCATTTGGAGGATTCTAAATTTAATTTAAGCTTGTTAGCATTCTAAAAAGGATATGAGTTATTTTGAAAAACTGAATTATTTCAATTCATCGTATCATTAGTGAAAAGTGTTTGGAAGGTAAGAGTGAGATCTGCTTATAGGACGAAAAGTAGACTGTCTTATTGAAAGCCAGAAGACAGATTTTGTCATAAATTAATGTTTCTTAGAGAATAATTGAAAACTAATAGGGTGTTTTGGACAACTATTTGGTTCAATTGGGCCAGTTTTCAACATTACACACCAGCGGTCTGAGAAGAGTTAAATTCATGATTCGTAAAGTTCAGGGCAGGCAAATACAGCGAAATTAAGTTTAAAGAAAACTAAATAGATTAAAAATTAGGAAGCTTAAATTTTAATGATGGCATAGCAGAGTTGAGAACTGCCTGACTTATCGAAGTAGAGCTTTACGCTTAAGTGCACAAATTCAGATTGTCGTACTTCAGAAAAGCACATGTAATATTTGAGAAAAAAAGTGTATTGAAACTACAATGGACGAATACTTATGGAAGAGGTATTAATTAAAAAAAAAGATTAGTGAATATTTTTAGAACCTTCAAAGTGATAAGGAGAAATTACATCTGCGCACTTATAAATGACTTTGGTATATTTTACGAAAAGCTTATAACCGCTACTTCTGTAACCTTCAAGTATCTCAGCTAGGTAGGCTACATCTACCTAAGTGGCCTAAACCAGTAGTGAAGGAATTCATGGAATTGTACCACACTTTTGTCTGACTACCTCCAGCTATTCCCTGCTTAGTCCTGTTTTGACTAAAACTGCTAGTCGACATACATGGCACACATCCCAGGTAGATGAGTCAGTGGAACTTCAAAACCTAAGAGACAAACTTCGCCTCAGTACTTAGCAATTCACATGCGCATTCATTCATGCCGCTACACTTATAATCAAAAACTATTGATCCTTTCATATCTCCTACTATATTTCATAAATGTGTAGTGGGATGGAGTGAACTGTTGCACAGTACACACATCTTCTGATGGGTAACCAGATACCATGCCTGCAACACAGCTGATGTAACAAATATTAATTTGTTAAAACATTAGCACTGAACAGCAAAACATCAGTAGAAACAATACCGTTCTATTTTTCATTCATTGGGAAACGGAAGTCTTTCTATAATAAAGACGATGTAAGTTGGTGAGTGCCGAAAGAGCCATTTGTATCCACTATAAGATTCTGCCAGCAACTAGTCCATTAAGGTTGATCAACTTTCCAGATAAATGAGGTAAATGATGCATTCAAACGTTTCATTCCCTATCCTTAAGCTGGGTGTTGATACAGACTAGTCGTCGTGTATCTGATAGAGGCGAATTTCAAATCAGTCGTATATAAATCTTCTCTCGGTGTGTTGAAAAGACTGTGCCTTAAAAGACTATATCCTCTGAGTACTCTAAATCGAAAATCCCCTTCGATGTGGATGTAGGAATTAATCAGAATTATATCCATTAGTATATGCACATGAAAATTTAATAAGAGCGGGGAAAGTGGGTGTTGTTGACGGATAACACTCGTTGGCATCACTTCAAATCACAACTCTGCACAATCTCTTATAAGTAACAGTGTTCTCACGCTGATTGTGTTGATAACTATAATATGCTTTCTCGGTGCGCCCTTCACAGCTAGACACTGCTTGTGTGTTAGGACTTACCGAAGTGTAAAGATATTGTCCTAATCAGGACCTGAAGTCTAGCTGGCCTTCTCTAGTTCTTTTTTCTTGGCTCTAATTAGTCTTCTCAAAATTACGCAAATCAGAACCTTAGGCACTATGTTTGTTAATCTGGCCACCTCTGTGACAACCATAGGAGGATTTATTCCCATTATGATATACTAGGGTGGTCATTAACCTACACCAGTATGATGGAACAGCCTCATTCCGATATAACAGTCAATAATTCATCGGCACCATCCTTATAGACCCATGGAGTTTTATCACTGAGTCTTGATGATTTGCCTCGTCTTCGATTATAAAAGGCTTTCGCATCCATGCTTCTCGAAGATCGCTTCTTTTGCTGTATTATGTTTTCCAGATGAGATTTTTAAGTGAAATGAAATTATTATTTACAATGAAATAAATTTGGATCAACAGACTGGTGTCAAAAATTAATAATGTAGTTAAATAAAGCTGAAGATGATGTATCCCGATTAGCTTGCAAGTTCCTCCTTTAAGTATAAACCTGGATCTGTAGGTGTCTTACTTATTCTCTAATAGATTGTAAGAACACTTAAAAGAATTAAAGGAAGGTGATCACTGAGTTTACTGATTATTGAGACAGGAAACAAAGTTAAGAAATGTTGTTTCATTACATCCAGTAATGACATGATTTTATTTTTCAGAAGTTTATATCTGTGTAGTCAGTCTGTTTTTATGTAACACAACATCAGTAGAATCCAGGATGCGTATTTCATCCTATTTGGAACTCCTCAGCAGGATGTACGTGCATTTCCCAGTAAGTGACGGTGTTCCCACCGAGCCTCGAACCCAGTGCCTATGGTTTCAAACGCCATAGCGTTATCCAATCGACCACTTGAGCCCTGAGAGTCACTGTAGGCACTGGGTTCGAGTCTCTGTGGGATCACCATCACTCACTGAAGAATGCACGTACGTCTAGCTGATGAGTCCCAAACAGGAAGGAATGCGCATCCTGGATTCCGCTGCTAGTCACCATCCACCAGTTGACTTGAGGTTTTACATGATCTGACATCGTCGAAGCATCTGCACAAGGATCCGACATGTCAACCTGAGACTGAGCACTTCGGTCCAATCAAGGAAAAATCTAAAATTGAATTAAATAACATCAATACACGGGAGTTTCAAACGATTAGGAAGTGTCGTTAAGGTAGCGAATATAAGCCCTAAAAGAATAACGCCTTATTTGATATCAAGTGAATAGAATTTAAGCATGATTAAAATATAGAAACTAAAATTCATAGTTTTATATCAATGATAGAAAATTTATGCTGAGAATAATTTATTTTACTGAAAGAGATAGATTCGCCTACTTGCTGTTAGTGTATTCCCCACTAATTAAATTATTGTGAACACAATTTCCCATGACTGTTAACAAAAAACTCCACCTTTTCTACAATAATCGTATAATTCTGTTTAACTTTAAAAGTACATTATCGGAAACATTTGTTTATTCTACCTACCCGTTTGTTAATGCATGAAAAAGAAGAACAAAGATTTATTCGGTTGAATTATTTTCAGAAACGCTTCAATTGCTGGATCATAAGGTTATTGATATCAGTATTCTACTTGGAAGGGAATAAATTCACTCATTTGATTTGTGGACATTTTCGCGCTGTCACGGCATATATATCACACATATGAAGTTTTAAATGAGAGTGGAAGCAGAATGAGAATAAAAAGAAATGGAATACTCCATTGTAGTAAGATGTATATATATACACACACACACACTTTAGATTTATGTAGTCTTAGATTATTGATCTAAG